TATTATACATACAATATATATACATATATATATATATATTATAATATATATATATATATATATATATATATATATATATATATATATATAGACACACACACACACACACAACCTAATTTATTATATTATTTCCGAAACTGTTGGTGAAAATGAATGATGCAAAATGAAAAGCAATGAATGTGTGCAGCGGTACAGTAATATAATGATGGTGGGGTATATAGGATGCAGGTATTGCGAAACTTATCCTGTTAAAATATCTTTTAGTAACAAAAACTATTAATTGACAGTCTTTAGAACTTTCCCGGTTCACGCTTGTTCACTCACCCCGCGAAAGGCCGAGTCAAGCTTTACTTTACCCAAGGCTAAGGGGATATTCCCTTAGCCTTGACTATACGCCTCTATTTGTCGTTTCAGCGGCTGGTGTCCAACACCTTGTCCGTGTTTTCCCTCCAAACTATTCAAGAAACCCATTGCTTTCGATATCCGTCTTTTACATATTAATTTCGTTATTTTGGCAATTATATAATTGTAAACATCTGGAAATATAATGGCGTATGAACTAATGTCATATGTTCTTTTCCAAATAATATATCAAAATTTTACCATTATCCAAATAGAGGATCCAGGTGATATGAGACAGAGAAGTCAGAGAGTAGCTGCTTAGGATAATGCAGAGCCATATATTAATATACATCCTTCATATATGACTGAAGGATATTTCCGTCTGACAAATATTACTATGAATACAGTTCCAACAATGTTTAAGTTTATTTTATATAGAAAATATGATAAGGAATTGAATTAAAACGATGTGATAAGATTTCTTAATCATTTTCGAAATATTATATCCAATATATCCACCAAATTAACAACTAAACAGGAATAAAAGCGATCCCCCCCTCTCTCTCTCTTCATGTTTATTTCAGTCATTTCTGCGAGGCGTCACCGCTTTTGTTGCTGGCTGTACTTATATACATGGAGAGGCATTTACGCAAAAATGACGTAGAAACAGACACAGACACCCATACACAAATAAACACAAATAAATAGTTAAAATACCAATGAAATGACCTGATGATATGACGATTTCTCTCTCACAGAAAGACAAAAAGGACATAGATGAGATGCTGCGAAAGAAGGATGCCGAAGCTTTGAAGATGAAAGAGGAAATTTCTTCTTTGAAGGATTCTGTTGCAAAGAAAGAGGAGGATTTAGAAGCATTAAAGGTGAGAGGAACCTGAGAGCAGAGAGTGCTTTGAAGTAAGAAAGGGGGAGAGAGAAACAATAGAGAGGGGAGGAGGAATAGAGAAAGAGAGAAAGGTATAATATATATATATATATATATATATATATATATATATATATATATATATATATATATATATATATATTAGTTATATCTATATCTATAGTTGAGTACACACACACACACACACACCACAAACACACACAACATACACACACACACACACACACACACACACACACACACACACACACACACACACACACACACACACAACACACACACACACACACACACACACACACACATACACATATATATATATATATATATATATATATATATATATATTCTCATATATATATATATATATATATATATATATATATATATATATATTATATATGTGTGTGTGTGTGTGTGTGTGTGTGTGTGTGTGTATGTGGGAAAAATATATAGATATGATTACATATGTATACATATATACATATATATACATATGTACATATCCATAGAAAGTTAAGTTTTAAGGTATTTACGCAAAACTAGCCTAACTGCCTCGGATTTATGTGCAGTCCCCTCAAGCATTTAGTGAATTTTGTTACATACAGATGGCTCCACATGCACTCTGCCACCAAGGAGTGTCTAGTGATGCCGCCTGACTTACCCATTCCTTGAAATGGCGGGAAAATGTGTTTCCTTCTAACACTATTTATAATGAGAATATTATTCTTACTGATATTTTGATTATTAAAATATCTTGGAATTATCAATAACATCAAAGACAATAAAATAACATAAAAGAAGCGTTGCAAAAATCAAGGAAAATGGTAAACAGGTGAGATAAGTAGTACTGATACTAATTTTTGGTGAGTAAGTACTTGCAGAGCCATCTATGTGTAGAGACAATAAATAAACTTATATAACTGTAGGCATGGCAAGTATTCTTGCCAAGTGTGCCAATATGGATATATATATGTATATATACACACATACACACACACACACACATGCACACACACACACACACACACACACACACACACACATATATATATATATATATATATATATATATATATATATATATATATAATGTATATGTATTATATACATATATTTTGAGTTTGAGATATTTACACAAAATAAAAATAAAGACGCAAAAATACACACAGGTACTCACACACACAAACACACTTACATATTCAGATACCAATGAAATGACGCCATGACGTGACGCTTTCTTTCTTACAGAAAAGCTACGAAAAAGACAAAAAAGACATACAAGAGAAGATGCGAGAGAAGGATGCCAAAGCTGTGGAGATGAAAAAGGAAATTGCCTCTTTGAAGGATGCTGTTGCAAAGAAAGACGAGGATTTAGAAACATTAAAGGTGAGAGGAACCTGAGAGCAGAGAATTCCTTAAAATAAGAAAGAATAAAGAGGGAGGATTGGCGAGGAAGAGAGAGAGAGAGAGAGAGAGAGAGAGAGAGAGAGAGAGAGAGAGAGAGAGAGAGAGAGAGAGAGAGAGAGAGAGAGAGAGAGTGGAAGGGAAAGACGGAGTAGGAGAAAAAAGAAAGGATAGATTGAATGAGAGAGAGAGAGAGAGAGAGAGAGACGGATGTTGCGGAGTAAGAATGTGAGTGAGCGGGAACGAAAGAATTAGAGAGATGAAGGAACAGAGAGAGAAAGAAAGAGAGATATCATATTCAAATTCATAATATTAAAATCCAGTAGTTGCAAATGTTATCTATTTGACATAAACAGTGATTTTACAATACAGATAAATACAAAGTATTATAATAGTACATTCAAGTCCTCCTTTATCTTACATATAAAATCCTAATATAATTGATAGCTTAGATGCTCCTTTAATCCTAAAAGTATTCAAATGATTAATGTTTCTGGTGATGTGTATAAGCTGCTTGATCATATATAGGCGTTAGCGTTTAACAAGCCACTGTTTCTGCACGTGGCCTTTTAACATGAAAAGTATTCCTTTCATCTCTTGTTTTGTTTTTCCTGCACAGTTGTAGATCACAACAAGCGGCACTGTTGGAGTTGTGGGGTAGTAGGGGGAGGACCGGGTTGTGCCACTCCACTGGGGGTTGGGTTCTAGTTCATCCAGATTGTTTATATTTGTGTTTATTTATTTAGATATTGTACAGATGCCTCAGCGTCCTTATTGGCTGATGGGTTGCTTCAAGGACTTCCTAGGTGTTCAGTACTCGGGAACAAGACCAACGCAAATTTCAAGCATGGAAAGGAGAAAGAAATTGAGAAGTTAAAAGCCAGTCTCCTGTCAATAAATTCAATATCTCACTCACTATGTCTTTTCTCTCTGACACTTTTTTCTCGATTCACCCCACTCACACTTACCCTGTTTCCCTCTCTTTCTCTCCCTCTCTCCCACATGACATTTCTCTTCCTCGCTCTCTCACTCCACGGGGACGTGACAGCAACATGGAAAGGGAGCCACAGACACTGATCAAGGTCCCTTTCAGGTGAAGCGCCAGGAGGAGCTGCAGAAGGAAGAGGACGACCGAATGGACATCGAGAACAAGGCAACTGACGAGAGGAGAAACTTCAACATAGAGCAGTGCAAGCTAAAGGACAGAATTAAAAAAAAGGATGTGAGTTTCTTTGGTTGCTCACACACGTACGCATGCAAGCATAGACATACTTACCGTTGCCGACACAAATCCCTGGAGTTCGTCGGTCATTGCCCGGCGACATGTAGTTTTGTTTTGTGAAATGTCTCTGCACATAAATGACTTTACAAGCGCTTAATCACACAGGAGTGTTTATTGGCATTAAGCCAGTTGCTTATATTAGTTCTTTATTCATATTAAAGATGAGATTGTCGATATTCTTGTCTGTTAAGTAAATAGTACTGTCATCTGCAAACAGGATGGGTTTTAAATTGGATGAGACCTGTGGCAAGTCATTAATATACAATAGAAATAAGAGGGGTCTTAATATGGAACCTTGAGGTACACCATAATTAATTGGAAGAACAGTAGAATTCTTGACATTTGTGTACACGAATTGTTTTCTGTCAGATAAGTAGCTCTTAAACCAAGCATATGAGGCACCTCGGATTCCATAATGATGGAGCTTGTCTAGTGGGATGTTATGGTCTACCTTATCAAATGCTTTTGTGAAATCAAAAAATATACTACATAAATCTCATTATTATCAAATGAACTTAAAACATCGTTTGTAAAACATTGTAGAGCTGACTCTGTTGATCTTTTCTGTAGAAAACTAAATTGATACTCTGAGAGTATATTGTGTGCATTGCAGAATTCATTTACTCTATTATACATTAGCGTTTCAAGAATTTTACTAAATGCATTTAAAATAGATATGGGACGAAAGTTTTTTGATCAATAAATGAACCTCCTTTATGGATGTAGTAACCCTAGCCATTTTGAGTTTATTAGAAAATGTCCCAGTAGACAGCGAGAGATTAAAGAGAGGAGTGATGATTGGATTCAGGCATGGCAATGATTTTTTGATAATTTTCATTTGGGAAATTATCTTCTGCAGAATTTTCTCATGAGTTTTGAATGGTATTGTATATTTCATTTTCTGTGACAATGGGAAGGGGCCTAAATAAAAGGATGTGAGTTTCATCAAAATCGGCAAGAAAAATCGAAAAAACAAACAAAACAAAACAAAGAAAAAAAACGAAAAAAAAATAAAAACAGACTGTCCCCTGAAGGTAGAGGCATTCTCTTCATAAGGAAAGN